ACCCCGCGCAGCGCGCCCCAGCGCTGAACCTGGGTTGGCGGCGCAGCCTCTCCGCTCCAGCAGAGCGGGAACGTCCCTTCCGCCCCCAGCCGCCGGCTCAGAAGAAGTAGGGAAGGAAGAGGTCTCCGTGGGGTTTGCTCCCGTGCGGAGGTTGAGGTTCCAGAGTGGTTAAATTGCACAGCCGGAAACAAAAGTGCTTCTCAGCTGGTGGTTCCGCATCTACGTACAGCTCCTGCATCGCCTTCAGCTCCTGACTGGAGAGGTGACGTGTCAGGATCCTAGTTTGGCAGCGGCGTTGTAAAGCGTGGTGTTACACCATCACTACGACAAGGATGCTACAGTCACGCTGCTACGAACTAACAGGTCACAAGTATCTAAAATGTCTCTAATTGTGGAGCTAATACAGTGCCGTCAAACAGGGCGAAAGGTGCCTGTAAAGAGCAAGCGTTTAGGGAGTGTTGGGTTTTTTAGACAGGTTTATCAGTTTTCATAGTGAAATGGATACGTAGGTTGCTCTCGCATGAATCTTCATATTTACTGTGGCAAAGCACTTAAAATGTGTGTATACCCGCAAAGAAAAAGATTATGCAAAGGAGGGCAGCCAAAGGAATGCAAACGAAGCATTTTACCATAGTTTGTTATGAGACAGGTACCTGAAAAAAAGAAACTTTGGCTTCGCTGTTTCCCTGGGTGATCCTGAAGTAATGTAGTACGTAAGTCTGAGTGATTCGGTGCCTTTGGTGGAGTGATGTAACTTTGTGTGTTCTTTATTATTTACTACAAAAAATTGTGAGTTTTATTCAGTTTTCACTCTCCGTGGATTACTTCTGGCAGGCAAAGATTAAAACCACATCCTTGGAGTATCAGTAAGTTGAGCTGGAGGATGCTCTGTACCACTCGTGGCTTTTGTTTTAATTGTCATTAGAGATTTGTAAATAAATACATATCCAAATTAAAATGCTGGATTTGGCCTAGAAACTTCTGACAACTGTCATGTCTCCTGTAACTTTTACCTCAAGACATCCAAGTGGTAGCAGGAAACCATAAACCCGTGCCTCTTACTCCTTGAGTAACAGCTCTCCACTGAAAACATGACATGCTGTAGCTGCTAAAATGTTAATCCTGTTTTAATCTGGCTAGTCGATTCCGAGTTGGGGATGGAGAAGACGTATGTATTTACGTACACGCATGGGGTTGTGCATACAGCCTACTCCTTTGATTACCCGTTTTAATTTTGGGGCCTGTTCCTACCTTCAGGGCAAGTGTCCTTCCAGTTCTTGAGGCGAGTAGACAGGATTTGCAGTGTCAGGGAGAAACAATATGTAAGGTCTTGGAGATTAGCATAAATTAAAGGTGGTTTTATTATGCTTGAGTTTTTATTCTGCATCGTTTTGAGTTGGAGATAATGAATTCTTGATGTAGCTTTCTATTTTTGTTTTAGGGACTCTGTTTTTGATCTTTGGTAAGATTCTAACGCTTTGGAGTGAAGTGTTTGAAATGCAAAGGCTTGAAGTCAGCACGGTGCAGGTACATTTGACAGCTTTGTTACTACGCTGTGATTAGTTTTACGCTAGCTCTGCTATTAAAAGGCATAGCTCTAACAACTTCTGCTAGAGAGCATACAATAAATGTCTGCAGGAAATGACTGCTAGTCAGTCTTCTCATCAGAAACGAGGCCGTGTCTGTTCGTCTGCGCTGTTCAGTGCTTTGAAATAACCGGTGTGCTTTTTACGCCTGCCAACAACCCAGCCTGCTGCCGGCGGGTGTTGCAGCCCCACGGCAGGGTCAGCAGCTTGGCAGTGGTGCTGCAGGAAACTCACTCTTGCACTGACCTTCCCCCCCGTCCAGAGCATTAAGGCTGATAAATGCTAATAGCTGTGATTCTGGTGATAGTTAGGCCTGTGTCCATACTGAACTAATGGCCAGAAGGTGTGCTCCGGGCTCAAGCTGTTGGAGCTGCTGGGATTTACATCCGTTACCATTAGGGACTGGGTGATTTTCTTCCCATTAAGTTTCAGAGGGCTGAGGTCAGAGCGTCGGTTCAGGTAAACGCAGACCTAGTAGGAAAATGCAGAGCAGATGTTGAACTTAACTTTCTCAGTTAAAAAAAAAAAAAGTAAATTATTTCCTGAATTCACAAAAGAAAAGATTATTTTGGTTGATGGTTTGAGTCGGTTGTTGACTGATGTTCTGGGGTCATCCTACTGGTTGACCATCTAATTTCAGCATTTTTCACAGCTCGAGTTTGTTGCAGATGTTTTCCTCTGTACTTCTTTCCTAGTCGTTGATAGAACTACATGATCCTGCCATTTCTTATTTCTCAATAATTTCTTAGAAGATTTCATAGGTAAAATACCTCTATTTCTTCAGGTAAACAATTTATGATTTTCCTTCTTTAATACATAGTATCCTTTCAAATAATTTTTAATAAAATAATTAAAACTAATAATAGAAACAACTTAGCTGGTTGAGGTCTCTTTAGTGTTACTCATTAGGTAAAGGAGAAGGAGCAACAGCTCAATGCCAAAAGCCTCTTCAGGGTAGTCAGGGTGACGTTGCTTTTCTTTCACCTCAGTTCTTTGTGATTTCAGTAGAAAAGAGTGAAACCTTCTTGGAATAGTTGGGCCAGCATAAATGTTAGATAGTACAGCTGTTCACTCGGGTTTTTAAACATTTATGCATTTGTCTTCAGGCATCCAAAACGTAAAGCCATTACTGTCAGCCAGGAATTGGGCTGCTTTCATCAGTCATGGTGCAGCTTCCTCTTCTGCAACCGGCACAATAAACTCCGTTGTGAATTTCTCAAACAAATTCATCGAATCCATGAAGTGAACAAAATAACTTTTCCACAGTTTCTCACTTCTAAATTTTATTTTTCTTCGACTGTTTACTGAACATTGGCATGTTGTCTTGTAGCATCGCGTGCCGGAATAGGCTGAATTACGATATCCTTTAAACAGCTGCCTTTAATAATGCAGATTTTTCTGTGAGGATGGGTGACCCTTTATAGATAATTTTCTGTAGCTCAGGCTGGTGTTTGATCTAAGCAACGTTATCAGAAGGAGAGTTACAGTGTTAATTGGCTCCTCTGTTGATTATTGCCGTCCTCTCTCGCCTCTTTTCTATATGCTGGGCCGTTCAGCGCTGGGAGAGCCGCTCTCCGGCGCTGGGCACAGCTGGGTCGGCAGAGCCTGCTGGTGACCTCGTTCTGCTGAGATGCTCACGGGAGGCACCGCAAGGAGAAATGGCAAGTACTCCTCAGCGTAGCAGTCCTAACCTGAGCTGAGGTCAGCCTGCTAGATCGTCGGTGTTTAACGGTAGTGAACGCCCTATGTTAAACCTCCTGTCAACGTGTGACTCGCCGGGTTTTTTCACAGTGCTGGTCAGCATGGGCGATATCAGCACGGCTGTATGTTCGTAGGGGTAGGGCTTGTCTCTCTACATTCTGCTCTTCCTTCCGACCCTGTGCACACTTGCCAGCACAGCGAGCTCAGCGTGGGAAAAACAGTTCTTCAGTCCCATGAAGGTATCATGGTGCCGTGGTAGCAGTACCATGGTATCTCCCCCTCTCTCCTGCTCCAGTTACAGATGTGTTGTTGGCTTGGCTTGCAGTGTCTGCTCCCACACCTGTGTGCGTGTATGGTGTGTGTACACTCCCCTCTCTCCCTCCCTCCCCAGGTGAGGGAACGGGCAGCAGCTCACGGGTTCCTGCCCTTGAGTCACCGCCCGCCTGCCAGGCTCTGGGAACAGCTCACTCAGTCTCTGCTGTCCTGCTGTCCCCACCTCTCCTGGCTGGCACTCCTGTTGCAGCTCAGAGCCGTATCCCCAGCTTTCATCTGGTAGCCATGTCTAGCAGTTCCCTATCAGTGCCACCCCCGGCCTGTTATACATCACGTCCATCTGCAGAGGGAAGGTATTTTGGGGTGTCAGTGCTGTTAATTAAGAAAACAGCACATGCCGGCCGGCGCGATGGTGTGTGCAGTGAGAGCTTTGCCAGCCTGGCTCTGCTGGAGGTGTGGCTCCAGGCTGTGGGGTTTTGAGGCTCCCAGCTACACGGCTGCACTACCAAAGTCCCGTGACATCAGCCTGGCCTGAAGAGAAAAAGCGCTGGGGTCGTGTTTCTCAGAGCAGAAGGCGCTCAGTCCTACACCTTCTCCTACCTTTTCTGTATTGAAGAAAAGCATGAAATAAGTGGTAGCCAGTAGCAGCCTTGTGGGGTGGTGCGATAATTCCGCTGACGGGAAGGTTTTATGCTCCAGGAGAGGAGAGGGGCACCCTGGTTGTATGGGAAAGAGCAGGGAGAATGTGTTTTAATTGACTGTAACCATAGAAAAACCTGAAGTAACCCTTCCATCCCAGAGCCTGCCATGCGATAAAATGCACCTGAAGAATGGTCTTTCGCTTTATCCTGCAGCTCTCAGCTCTGGAATTGTCTGCTTCCCCTTCTTCCATAGCAGTCCTCTCATCGTTCCAGCGTCCCCCGTTGTTCCCCTGCGGCTTTGTGTTTCGCTGTGAGTGTGTGATCTGAAAGTCTCGCTCTGATGATCCCCCAGGTTACTTCAGAAGTGATGGTGTTTTGCTGTCTTCAGTAGTTTAATCTGCATGGGATTGATGGCTCGTGAACCTGAGCTAATTCCAGGTGGTGCTTTTGCATTTCTTCACATTCGTTGTGTTCATTACTGTAACCAAATGCTATGGAGGAAATCCCACTCCTTTGACAGGGTATTTCCAATGGAAAGCTGAGAAAACAATGAGGATATAGTAGTTTTATACTAAGGATTGAAGGTATTTCCCCAAATCAAGTTGTTTTTTTCCTACTTTTCTCTGTTTTCTGGCACTTTGCCACCACCATCATCTCTGTGCAGATCCTAGGAATGCTTTTCATACTTACTTTTGAACTTTCAAAAAAATGCTTCAGGTGAAGAACAGAACAGAAAAGTCTTTACTGAGGTAGAAGGAACCATGATCTACTGAAGCTGCAGGTGCTTTTCACGTGCGGTGGCAGGTTTTTTAAAATGTGGCCTGCCAGCGTGATTGACACCACTTCTGGCTGCAGTCTGAAGGCAGTCATTTACAAACGTTCACGTATTTGAGTTTAAACTTTGTGTCGTATGTGGTGGTTTTTCCCAAACTGACTGTCTAAGCAGCCATCAAGCTGTCGTGACTAAAGCCAGATTTCTGTAGTTTACGTGGTAGCCTACGTGATTTGAAAGGTTAAGCAGGTGATTCTTAATTGCAGTTATTACCGTGCGTTTTCATTTGTTGTTGACACAGTTGTTCCAAACAGCCAACAGTTGAACTGTTCTCTGAATTGGAAAGGAGATGACGTTTTGTCTGATGTCATGGAGAATTCCTCTAAATAAAATCGAGGTGCTGTATGCTGAAACAAGGGAGTCATTCATTGACTCGGAGTACCTGTGTGTGGAATGGATTAGAACCTGGTTTACCTTAAGGGATGATGGAAGCATCAGAGTGGCTTTGGACACAAAACTCTTTCTGATGTTTTAGACACAACTGTTGTTGTCAGTGATCTCTAGCTTTTTCTTTACCACTGTAATTTGAGAAAATCTTGGTCCAAGAAGAGGCTTCTAAAAAGTATATAATTTTAAAAAGGTTTTAAAAGTGGCTTGTTTAAGCCCGTATTTGATCAAGCACAACACAACAGTAAAATCACACTTTACTGGAGGGAAATTTTTACTTCTGCATTAAGACTCCCTTTTCTCATCCATCTGTCCCAGGTGGCAAAGCTGGCAGCTGTTCCCTCAGGTCTGCCCTTTGCAGGTATTACTGTGTATGCAGCAACAGAAAAGGAATCAAAAGGTCAGCTGGTGAAGCCATGTCAGGTAAGAATCTCACTCTTTGTCAGTCTCTAAAATGAATCAAGAAGAATCTGCAGCATGCTATCTCTTCCCACTGAATTATATTACCCTGTACATAAAATACATGGGTAAGTAATGTGTGATAATAAAAGTTGCCTCCTAAGTAACTGGCTACTGTAACACAAATAAAACATGAAGTGTTGCAATGGTAAGTTAGTGAAGTTTTATCTCACTTTCATGATAACATTATTTCCACACTGAAGCCAGAAAAGGCAAAAGAGCCTAATACTGATGATAATAGTCTTTTTCTATTGTACAATTTCTAGTAATACATTTGTGTATCTTCCAACTATTCTTGCTTGTGCTTTTTCTGAATAAAAGATATTTTTATCATACTCTGTAATTCTGCTTCTTAGAACCTACACAGTACTTTCAGTTTTCGTTTCTAAAGAATTAACCCGTAGTCACACTTGTGTAACGTAAGTCTGTAAATACAAAAGAGCATTCATTGATACAGGGGTTTTACTTGCTCTAGTGGGAACACTGAGGGTTTATAGTCTTGACAAAACACTAGTCAGTGTAGATACGAATCAGTATACAAAACTATCTCCCTGCAGTAGTTACGCTTTTCTTTCCAGCTTCCAATTTACTCTCCACCCCCTCTGAAATCCAAATACATTGAAGAACAGCCTGGTCACTTGCAGAAGCAATTTTCTTCAGTAAGACAGGCAACCGGTCGCTATGTTGGATGGTGGAAGGTAAGAAACACTCACATCCAAAGTTTCCTGCGATGCCTGACGACACGAGAATAAACCAATGAAAAAACCAGCATACTTCACCCTGGGGGTTGGTTTGGGCTTCTTTTTGCAGTCCCTTGTATTCGCATACACCTGTATTTTAAGAAGCGAAACCAAACCCTTTTCTCATTTTTATCTACTGTGCTTGTAACAGGGAACCTGGTCGTTCTTATTTTCCGGGCCAAAAGGCAGTGAGATCAAAGAGGTCTGTTTCAGTCAATGCCAAACTGGATCTAGGCCAACCCCCAGTGTCAGGTTCAGAAATATCTATTGGTTAACTTCTACAGCAGGAGTTACGTAGGCACATTCTTGCCAGCAGAACTTGATAGCAATTAGGAGTCTGAAATTCCAGGTACAGTCCATGGAAAGAGAGCGAGCTGCTTCCAAAGGGCAGGTTGAAAGTCCTGATGTAGGTACTTCAGGAAAGACAAACTGAGTGCCTCCATTATAACTGTTAAACAGGCTGTTGCTAAATAGTCATCTAAAATACCTCACAGCTCTGCTGTTGACTATTCTGAGGCACAGAATAAAATGTGATGCCTGTTGTCCTTCTCCGAACTGCTGGTAAATGACAACTTTTACCCTGGCTGCTGTTAGTATAAGAAATTTTATACCGTATTTTTCTCTGCCGAACAAACCAGACCCTATTATTTTAAAAAAAGCAAGGAAATCGAAACGTCTTCCGGTATTTTCTGTAAATATTGATTCCATTGACCGGTGAGAATTTTGTCGGTGACTGAAATAATGTAGTTATAAGTATGTATCAAGCTTTTCTATGCCCTTACTCTCCAAGGGAGAGTGTCAGAGGTTGACTAGCAGTGACCTCTGGTGGTACAAATTCCGTAGTGCTGCAAACAAATGATGGTGAGATCACTCGGAATGCTACTCTTCATTAATCTCCTAAAGAATGTGTGTTTACTCAGATTTTTTAAGCCATCTGAGGACAATGATACTAATAATGGGCTAGTAGAAAAGTTTTTTTCTGGATAAAGTAAAACTTGTCATGAAATAGATTGACCAATTTGAAGGGAGGAATGCAACCTAGTTGAGAACATGCCTTAGACCAAATCAGTATTGCTTATCTTTGGTGAAACTGAGCACCATTTTTGCAGACTAAAAGACTAAACTGACTAAAAGTCCGTTTTACTGGGTAAATCTCTCTAGGGAAGAGGAGATTGTATTTTCTAATTGAATTTTCTTATGTTATACAGTTGGTGTTCAAGTGTTTTGCTGCCCTACAGTTTTGTTCCTGAAATGTCAATTATTACTACGATCTTACTATGTTAAAGAGACTTTTTTTTTTAATTATTAAATATGGATGGAATTCTTCACAGATATAAATACAGTAGTCAGAAAGGGGATAGGTGTCAGCACAGCCTCTGTAGAACTTCACTGATGTAGTTTGGTATTTGTGAAGTTATATATTTCTTTGTCGCATTGAACTGAGCCATATGTATAACTGAGTAGCTTTGTACTGAAAACATCTGCTTTTCAAAGGTTTTGACCTTTTTTTGGTTTTGTAGGATGCTTTTGTCTTTGTTAAAAATGGAATAATGGATTCAATTCAATTTGGAAAAGGTAGGCAAGTCACATATTTCTGAAATGAGCATTTTCTGTTGTTTCCCCTTGCAACTTTGATGATTGAAACAGCAAATTCTGGTTACAGGGGGAAGGAGGGGAAGCAGGTGGAAAGGGAGTGCACTGGAATGCTTTGCACACATGTGAGGGGAAAAAATCCTGGGACCGCTGTTAATTCTATGGATTTTCATTTTTGTTCTCAAATTAGAGAAATGACCATTTAAATAGTATTTCTTATTCCTCTGATTTTTAGCTTTGTTCTTAAAATCATAGTATCACAGTCACTGAGGTTGGAATATCTAGGGAGATTTATCTCCATAGAGGCACCTCTGTAGATCACCTGGTCCACTCAGTGCCTAAAGCAGGGCCAAAGCAGGCGGCTGAGGTTTCTGTCCAGTCAGGTCTTGAACATCTTCAGGGATGGAAATGCTACAACCTGTCTTAATTATAAAAACGGTTTCTTAATTCTAACACAGGTTACAAGCACGATACGCATTCAAGCTTAGTGTCCCCTTTCCTTTATTAAGGACTAACATTTTATAAAATACACCAAAAAGTACCTATGGAGAAAAATTGTTAACTTTGCAGCTGTGTTTTGAGGACTGTGATTTGGGTTCTGTCTAACACAGACTGCAGAGTATGCACCTGGAAAATAAGGCATGTTCATTCGTTAACAAAAAATCCAGTCTTGGACTATTTCCAGTTTGGGATATTTATAAGTTTACTTCCGTGTTTATTTCTTAAGTGGGAAATGGAAAAAAAAAAGCGTAGATATTTAATTGCTGTGCCTCTCTTTTTCCTTAGTCTTGTTTTGTTTTTTTAATTCTAAGATGCTTATGTTTACCTGAAGAATCCGCCACCAGAATTTCTTCCCAAAGTGGGTGTAATCACAATGTCAGGCTTTGCTGGTGTTGTGCTGGCAAGAAGAGGTAGGGCTTTTGCTTATTTTCCTTATTGGTGTCTTGAATATGTAGCATGTGGTAATTTTAATGGTCAAAAGATTTTTCTGAAACATAGGAAAATGTAACCAGTAAAAAATCCGTTCTGATCAATTTAAAGGACATTATTAAATATTTCTTTTAGAAGCTGGCTAAGACCTTATAGACAGCACAGGACATTTTTAATGGTGGAATCAACAGAAATTCCAAGTAGAACACTTGTTCTACGAGTTTATTCATTGTTGGTTTTCAAAAACAATGTGTGTGTGAAAGGTTACTGAATACAGCAAAACCTAAGGGAATGTGAAAGAGCTAAAGGATGTTGGCATTTGTCTAAGAGGTACAGGAGAATACACATCAGAAGGTGTGGTTTCAGCAGCTTGGAAGTCAAAAGAGTAATTTAACAGATAAAACCACCTTTGCTGTCAAGATAAATATTAGAGGAGTAATACTTAACCTGCTAGGAAGTATTGTTCAGGAAATGTTTGTCTGTAATACCCAAGTGTGTGTCTGAATATTTCACAGACCAAATGGGTTAATCAGAATAATGGCAGATTAGTAAGGGCATTCTTCTTGTATCCCTGATATTGTTTGCTGGACAGATTAAAAAAAAAAAAAGACCAGGGTTTGGAAGCTGTCATCAGGGCTCCTTGGCAACAGACAGGAGCCTGAGCCTGGCCCAGCACTTCACACATATGAACAAAGAGGCCCCAGGTTCCAGGCTGCTTCAAGTTCTGCAATCTGTGTCCTCAAGAGAGAGCGCATGGAGCTAGTGAAGAACCACAGCAGCTCCTAAGTGACACAGACCACCTCATTTCCCACAGTGTTGGAAAATCTAATTTGGGATTATTTTTATTCAAGAAACCAGTGTTCAGAGTATCGGTCTGTCCTGCAAACCTTACTGCACTAAACTGTAATCACACCCTCTATTCACTTCTCCAGCTGTTAGGGGGATAAGTGTGATGTAAACAGTGGCCAGAGGTTAAACAGTTGCATTTAGTTGATACAACTGCTTAGCTTTACACTGCATCACTCTTTAATTAATTTGAAATATTTGGCTTTATACAGATTCTCGATTTAAGAGAATTGCTTATCCGTTGGGACTTACTGCTTTAGGAACTTCTGTTTGTTACCCTGCTCAGTCAGTGGTAATTGCTAAGGTAAGTTTACTCATATTTTAATATTGAATTAACAGTAGATTTAATCATAGCATTCCCCTTTCACCTGAATTAAGCATGGTGGGACTGGGAGTCAGAATTCACATGCATCTTCATTAAAACATAAAATGCATCACAGGCGTCAGTTGCATAACTATAAAACATGAATAAAATAACTGCATTTAACATGCAGCTCTATAGCCTCTCCATTTTTTATCCTCATTTCTCAAATGAATGAAGATTATTTTATCTTGCTGAAATAAAAGTGAATAAAAACCAAAGCCTTGCCAAACTTGATAGATATGCAATTTGAGATACTGTACAATTGCATCTCTTGTTAGAATTCCTTGTTTTCCAGTTCCTGTCATCTTGCAGTCATCTACCTGATTAGAAACATGTCTTAGCTATTTATGTAGAAAAGCAGAGCTGTGCTTAATATTTTTCATGCCAGAATTGTTTACACATAGTACTTTTCTACACAAAAAATTAATTGAAAAGCAGGATATAAAGTCTGTAGATCTCTCCCTTCTCTATAGTTTCCCAGTGTTTCCCTATTTAGAAAAGTACGTACTGCTTCAGAAGAATTCTTCCTAATTCCTTGATGGACTTTGTATTTATAGTTGAAAACCGGAATTCTTTGTTAAGTTGATGAGGAAAATTTGGTTTTGTTAGTTATGTTTGTTCTAGGACTTAGCAGCCTCTTGGTTAAATGATCAGATTTAAGTTTTGACAGATTTATGAAACATTATCCTGAAATTTGACTGAGGAAACTACTACTGAATCTCTAACTTTCCATCAGGATGAATCAGTTGTTACTATTACTAATTTTAGTGGGGTGGTTTTGTTTGGTATTTTTTTACTTCCTGAGTACTGGAAGAATTGGGCTTGTTCAGCCTGGAGAAGAGGAGGCTCCGGGGAGACCTTATTGCAGCCTTCCAGTACCTGAAGGGGCTACAAGGAAGCTGGGGGAGACTTTTTACAAGGGCCTGTAGTGACAGGACAAGGGGTAACGGGTTTAAATTGAAAGTGGGGATGTTTAGATTGGAGATCAGGAAGATCATCTTCATGGTGAGGCACTGGGACATGTTGCCCAGAGAAGCTGTGGATGCCCCATCCCTGGAAGTGTCCAAGGCCAGGCTGGATGAGGCTTGGAGCAACCTGGTCTAGTGGAAGGTGTCCCTGCCCATGGCAGGGGGGTTGGAACTGGATGGGCTTTAAGGTCCTTTCCAACCCAAACCTTTCTGTGATTCTATGCCTCTATGATCCTTAAGAAGACACCACAAAGACCTATAGTGTGGTTAAAATCTGTACACAATCTTACATTGCTAAACTGATACATTGGGGGTATTTTTATATGGAAGACAATGAGGATTATGGTTTCTCAAGAGGCAGTGCGATTTCTTGGCTTATTTTCATAAGTATTAAATTTCAGGGTTGGAAGATGGAGAAATAAACAGGAATGTTATGTAATGACCCACCTCAGAAGGCTAAATCCTTGTTTCTTATCTACTTACATTATGTATCACCTTTTGCACAGCTTTTTGTAGTTGCAGCTGTGAAGTTTTCAGTTGCTACAGCCCGTTTGTAAAGGTACTCCATGGTTACTGCAGTATCAAATTACTTTTTGAAAATAGGCAGAAGGATTTGGCCATCTGGAAAGCAAAGCACTGTTCACTGACATGTGTCAGGTCATCTTTTGGGGCTTTTTCCTTTTGTGTTACTGTCTTTGAGCATTTCCAGCAGAGTGTGACAAGTTTGGAGCCTTTAAAACTGCTGCTCCAGTCTATTGCGCTGACACTGACAAAACGCTGTTTGTGTTTTGATTTAATTTTGATGGGTGGGTGTAGCGTGTGAATGCTGCCTGTGGATTTCTAGTACCAGTTTGAACGTTACTTAAGGTTTGCTTGATGTGAGAGAACTATGCACCAGATATTGAAAAGTAGATGAGTGAAATGTTTTAGTGTGGGGTCAGGCATGTTTTCAGGCAAATAAGATTTGTTTCATTTGAATGGCCTATGTATCTTAGTATTTTTGAAGCTGTCATTGTTACATTTGTCTAAAATGCACAGGTAGCAGGGAGGAAGCTATTTTCTGCAAGCCGTCAGACCTACGAAGCTGTGCGATCGCTGTGGGCCACACAGGAAGGCATCCCCAAGGTAGGCTTTCTGAAGTAATGACTAACTCACGAATTCAGAGGGAGGAGAACTGAGAAAGTCAAGTAGTATTCTGATGCTGTTAAAGATGATTAATTGTGTTGAGGGAGGCAAAAAAACCCCTCTGATATTTCTGTAACTTCAGTGTTCAGTGTCATGTTTGCAACAGCTTTCAGACCGATAGCTATGGAGACCCCGCCGTACACGCAAGATGTGTAAGAGAAGACTGAGTTTCTCTTATTGCTCATTTTTGATCTTGACAAAAAGAACCCATTCTGATTCAAGCCCTGGTCCTTAGACATGCAGAATTACAGTAGGTATGAATAGCTTATTCTTAAAACACATCAGCGAAGGAGAGTCCACAACCCTTCCAGGTAGTCTGTTTTAATTACCCTGTAATATAAATTGTCTGTGTCTCATTTTTTTTTTCTCATCCTGTTCTCATTGCAGCCACAGTGAATAAATGGTCAGTAACTTCTTTATATTGACCCCTTACAGATGGAAAATTTGTCATGGCTTTTGTCACTATCTTCACCCTACTATAGCCTGTTCTTACAGAGCATACTTTCTAACTCTAACATAATCCTTATTCTCCCCTCACCTTTCTCTAGTTTCTCTCTCTCCTTTTCCTGTTTTTAGGGGTTTTTTTTCTGTGTGGTTTTATCGTTGGTTTTATTTAAGTGAGGTGGTCGAAACAGGACACAGTACACCACCCGCGGCCTTGCCAGCGCTAAGTAGAGGGGAATGTTAACCTCCTGTAAATTACACGTGGAATTTGGGTTAGTGCATCCTAGAATTAAACATGTTGTTTCTGCAACCTGAAAGAGTTTTTCTGCAGTGGAAATTTAAGAACATCTGACAGACGTAGTACAGTGATTTTTTTTTTTCCTCATTTTAAAGAAAATGAAAGTTTCTCAGTCACATTAACATTTAGAAGTATTTTGCTTTAAATTCATGGTTGTTATTTGTATGCAGTCCTCACCTTTTATTTCCACGGAGGAGTGCAAATTGAATTCTGAATTTTGAAAATGAGATTCAGATAAAGGTAATTAAAATGAGAGCAAAACAAGAGTTGATGTGGTTAAAGACAGTTTCTATTAACTTTACTTTTTCCCCTCAGTAAAGCCTGTTCCCAAAACAATATATTATTTTTTATATGATTACTCAGGTGTTACTGTGATTTATCTTTCCATGTTCTTTTAACTAAGGGTAGTAAGTGTTGTGTAAAAACTGGATGCTGTTGCAGTCTTCTGTAAGACTATAGGTTCCTCATCTGTAGATGACTCCCCCGTGAAGTACTTTGAGGGTCTCGGGTAAAAGCTGGGTATCAGACTGAAGCGTGCGCTCGGGACAGCGTAAGCTTGCCTGCATGTGAATTTGAAGCTACTGTATCTGAACGGTGGGGTTCTTTCATGCATTGTATTTTTTCCGGCTGTGTCCCATGCACGCAGCTGACTTTAACATTGCTAGTTGAATATCACTGTATGATGTTGTGTCTGAAAATAATTTCATAAAATACAAGATTTCAGAAGTGAAAGCTTTATTTTGCAGTCATGTATTAAGGATATACCCTTGTACCTTCGTTATTGGTATTAATGTTTGGTTCGCAGCTGCAGGAAGAGGCAAAATCAGTTACACAAGATAAGAAAAAGAAAGAAACTCCTCGTACAAAACCCGAGGCTGCTATTGAAGCGAGATCATTTACTAGAACAGAATCTTCTCCCGTAGAGTCTTGGAGTAATAAAGATCCAGTGCCTTCATCAGGTGAAGTAAAAATTTCAAGCATAATCTCAGGGCAACTTGCAAATCCAAGGCAAATTCTGAATGATTTGACTTAATTCTGTAGTTACCCTTGCTTTAAAATGGAGCACACTGCCATAGCACATTATTCTGGAGAGTATACTGTACACACTGTCATCTGATCTATGCTTCAGACCCTCAGGGAGGTGATCATTTTCTCACTGTGGACCCTGTCACAGTACCAGAATTCTTATGTATTTGTTGTTCTTTCTCAGTAATGTTTTCTTTCATCCCCTGGGGTGTGGACCATATCCCATATTGCTAGCAATGAGATGGTATCATCAAGTACTGCTGTTAAATACTGACTCTTAAGTTATCTGTCTGTTGTCAAATACCCTAAGTATGATTTAAAGGATTACTGCTGGATTTCTGTGAGGGCAGCTGATTTGAATTACTGTTCATTTCTCTGTGGGCAGATACTGGTGAAGAGGAATCACAGAATCACAGAATGGTTTGGGTTGGAAGCGACCTTAAAGATCATCCAGTTCCAACCCCCCTGCCATGGGCAGGGACACCTTCCACTAGACCAGGTTGCTCCAAGCCTCATCCAGCCTGGCCTTGGACACTTCCAGGGATGGGGCATCCACAGCTTCGCTGGGCAACGTGTCCCAGTGCCTCACCACCTTCTCTGGGAAGAATTTCTTCCTGATACCCAATCTAAACCTCCCCACTTTCAGTGGTTTTGCTAGGTTTCTTGCAATGGCTGTCTTTGTGCATCTTAAGTGGTTGAGGTAATTGACTGCATCATGTAACAGCATATTTCACATACAGCTATTTTGATAGGCCAGTTGCTAAGAGAAATAGTGGAATTACCTCAACGATAACTAAATTTGGCTTAAAATATTGTTACCTATTGTAGGGACAATTTCCCGATTTTGCTCTTTGCTTAAACTTGCTTACTTCTTTTTATTGTGTTCTCTACCAGAACACTTTTTTTCTGGAAAGCAAGCAGAACATATTTGGATGGGTTTTTAAATGTTTATCCCCTTTATTTTCACTATAATATAGATTCACATCTTTCTTTGCTTTGCCCCTGTATTTTTTCTGATTTAGTTTATGGACTGCTTTGATCTGGTTTTACATGCCCTTCATGCCAGGCTGTCTTTAGTGGTTTTATGTATAAGCGTATCTTCTGTCTTTGCTTTCCTGGGTGGAATTAGCTCATGTCCCTAACACTGCCAAAACTGTCCATGCCCTAAATCAATCTGTGTTGTCAGAGGTGTTTATTTTCACTAGTCCAAACAGGGCAAAGCTTTCGGCAGAATATAGCACCCTTAATTAAACCAACTGGTCTAGCTGGAAAAGCAGCAGACTAGTAGTTGGAGCACAGTCCTAGAATACCTGCCTCCACATTCTCTTAGATGCTCTGGAATTACAGAATCATTAAATGTGTCAGTCTTTGCACATTGTCATTCGGGGTGAGCGTGAGGGCTCAATGTCTTCGTAAACTCAGTTCATTGTTTTTGGAAGTCATGAAGTGAAACTAGGTGAGAGTCTTTGTCCTAATCTGGAATTCTTACCATGTGGCAGCAGCTTCAGAGAAGGTACTGATTCAGTTGGTCTGGGGAGACAGCTGTGCTCCTGGGAGCAGTGGGTGAAGAAAGACTGGAGGTTTTCTTCCATGACCCAGCCTTTCCCTTCCTTTCCATGCGCAGGGCAAAGCATCACTGCTTCTTCTTTCACCCTGCTGTGTATTAAAGTAGTATTAAAGTATAGAGTTAGTATGAAAGTATAAAGTAGCACTGAAGTACAGAGAGTGGGAGGAAGAGCTGCTCTCCATCCACTGCTGTATGCTAACAACTGCAACGTGCCATCATCGTCCTGTATCTTGTGCTGGTAATACAGTGGTTCTCAAAATATGCCAGTAAGCATTTTTTCTATGGCTCAAAGATATACGTATTTTTTAATTAAATTTTATTAATCTCTCTAACAGGAACAGTGAAGACACCAAAATTTAAGCCTGATCCAAAACTTATGGACCATGGTCAGTCCAGCCCAGAAGATGTGGATATGTACAGTACTCGAAGCTAAGACAAATCTGCTTACGAATTTTTGCAAAGTATTACAGATAAGGGGGAGGGAAGAAGGGAAGGAATAATCCTTACAATACATACTCTGTGAGGTATAATTTAATCAGTTATTTTCTTATATCCCAATTTGTATTATTGACTTACATGATTCTGTTTAGTGAATATTTTGTTTCTCACTAGTTATAAGCACTGAGACTTCACTCATTGCCAGTGTCATTAGTGAGGCACTGAGAAAATGAGATTGTCAGTGTCTTCTCACAATGAGATTACTCTGTGCCAAGCTTGTTAATAAATGTCACTTCACAAAGGATATTTGAAAATGTAAACATATCTCTATACTTCGGCTCAGAAGTTCGTTGATGTAAAAGAAGAATGTGATGGATGGGCTTTGCAGAGGCTTCCTTCTCTTTCTTCTTTCAGCTCTGGAATGAAGTGCAACTTCTTAGTGGTCTGAGTCCCCTTAAAAAGTGGGTTGTTACATTATGTGAATACCATTATCTACTGCTCGTATAAACAAGTTACTTTTTTTTTCATTGCAAAGTCATTTGTTGTTCTTCGCCTCTTTCACAAATGTGAACGGGAACAACTTCTTGGCCTGGATGCTCCTTGTGTATTTAAATGTCACTTAAGTTTGGAAAAAACGCACAACTAATCTCTACAACAACCTTTATACATTGTGCATTAGTTTGCCCCTACTTCTAATACTTTGAAGAACTGTATGCAAATTGCTTAATGCATGAAGCTGATGCTGTTGCATTTGTGCAGAGTGCATTAGCAATATTTAGGAAGTTGGAAACCTTCTGTAGTTTTGAAGTTTGAAGTGCTGACAGATTATTAAAAAGGCAGAGTGTGCAATAGCCATTGATCCTGGTAGGATTTCTGTCAACTTCTGTCTTTTTCCGTAAGAATGAAATGAGAAGTCGGTTGTTTCCCAGCCTGAAACTTTGAAACACTGCTTTTATCATTGTGTATATCACTCTACTTGTGTTCATCCTCCATTTCTCTTCGAAACACTCTTGCAAGGGTTGGAATAGATCTGGTGGACTTCCTTGAACAAAGTGCAACTCGGTACACGGTGATAATCAGCCCGCTGCCGAGAGGTGATCTCATCTGCATCTCCTGTGGCACTTCTCTAGTGCACACACTGCCAAAGAACACTGTGCTGGAAGTTTGTCCTTCGATCTGTCTGATTCTGTTACCTTTCAAGTCATGAAAATACGTGCTTTGTTGTAACATTGAGGAGGGGAAGCAAGAACAAACTATTCAAGCAGATAGTTTGGTTGGAAGACTTAAACCTGAAAGGAGACTCTGCATCATGGGAATGTATTCTCAGCGCTGGGATGTGAAGGGTTATTTGCTCCTGGTTTCCCTTAGAAGACGTTTCACAACATGATTCCTTCTTCTAAGGCTGCTAATGCAACGGCAAATGACTAGTGGCGTACAGGCAAGCAGTGTTCCTAGTGTCACTGTGGGACTAGTAGGAGTTTTGAGGAGATACTGCAGAATGGAATGTGGCCAAGTCACAAACGATCGAACGAAAAAATATGGTGGTTCAGAAACAGTTAAGTATTGACATTTTGGAATTCACATTTCAGAAAGAGTTTTGGACTTTGTTACACAGAGTCCAACGGAAGGTGTAGTCAGTAAATGTGAAGTTTAAAGAAGAATAATTCTGTTAGTTACACTTGCTTGGCACAACTGACTTAGAATTTAATGTGTTTTGTTTCTTTAACCATCTCAAGGCCCATGAAACTGTCAGAATTCAGGCAGCAATCAGAGGATATTAAATCAGTCTTCACAGAGCTCTTGGACAAGACACATTTAGTGTCCCATCACAGAGAGAGGAGTAGAAAAATTAGATGGCTGGGCTTCATATACCATTTCCAGGGAAACAGATGAAGAAATAAGACACGAAGAGAAAATGGTGAAGAAATTCTCATTCGACTGCAAGACTGGTTGACAGAAATTGTATTATCTATCTCCTTATCCGGCCCTTTGATCAGATTCTGGATGAAAACCAAAGGAAAAAGCATCTGCTCTACTCCTCCTAGATTCTGTTTAAAGCCCAAGTTACATCCTCTCAGTGATGCACTACCACAAGTCAAACAGAAAGGTAAGGTGATGCAGGTTGGCATGGAATTTGTAAGGGTTTACTGTGGTGATGTTGCCCAGGTGATTGTGCACAGGATGAGTCTTCTGGAAGCAGGGAGAGAAGCTGCCTTGAATATCTGTTAAGGAACAACCATGCCAGCCCTTTCCAGGTGAGAGTAGGCCTAAAAAGACTACCTGCAGTGCCAAAAGTTAGTCTGGTCCTTTCCATATTTTAAGGGCATTAGCACTCAAATCTCCTGATAGAGAAGAAAGTGTCTGGTGTCCAAAAGGTCTCTGCCCTCTTCAGTTCCGACATCTGAACCTCCATGTCTTATGGAGTACGTGATCTTTAAGGTCCCTTCCAACCCAAACCACTCTATGACATGATACTGTGATACTCGACAAAAGGCCTGTTCCAGAAAACTGGAAGGAAGTGTAGCCATAGCTACTATTCATACCTTATAGCAAAGGTGCTGTGCAGTGGCTTTAAAAAAGCAAATTCAGATGTGCATCATGCCATGCTTGTGAGTCCTTATTTTAAGTATGTAGACTGTGAATAGAATATTTGTGAGTAATTTGGTGTAATAGTAGAGAAACTGTCCTACTTTGTAGAAACAACTGTTTTCTGCATCAACACTTACTGGCTGTTCTGTTTCCCTGGGACTTGAGAAAGATTCTTCTATCCCTCTCCTTTGAAGTTCTTTGCACCGATGTAGATGCAGACATCTGAGTCCACAGGAAAGGGTTCTGCAATTTAAACTCAGCAAATTGTGCTGAGCTTATTATTTTGGCCTTGATTCAGTCAAGAATGATTGACTTAAAACCTGCTTTACTCAAACTCAGCAAGCATTACCAATTACAGTACACAGTAGTGATAGCTAATTAAGTTATTTATTATAGTTCATACTAGAAGCCTCACTGGACAGAAGAGATTCCAAATGCACACCATTGGTGTTGGAGGGTTATATCCACAGCCCACTGATTGCCTCAGTTCACTCCTTTGAAGTATTACTTCATTTAGCACTCACAGACGTCACGTATAAATAGTAGCGTTGTCAGATGAAAAAACAGAATAGCGCAGAAGTGTGCTTAACTACCTAGAAGTATTCTGCTCAGTTCTAACACCCTATGTTTGTGTCGCTGGGCTGTGCTTATGTATCTTGACCTGCAGTTTATAACAGGCAAGCTGTCTTGTGGAGCCATAGAAACCAAAGCTTAAAAATGTAGTGGTGTAGGTCAGCAAAACGGTCTTTATCCTGCCAGCTCAGTACAGTGTCCTGTGGTGCATATTCTGCTGGTTTTCTCTAGTTTTTCCATTCAAAAGTCTCAATGATGTTTTCAGAAGATTATTGCAAGTTATTGGTCAGAAAATCATGGGTTTCAGAGGTAAGAAGAGTTTAATTACCATGAGCATCAGGAGACAGCGTTTTTTTAATAGAGCTATCTTAATGCATTCTAGTATTTTCACATTACAGACAGCATTTTACGGGTTCAGAGAAAAGGTTTTATATTTAAGAGATAGCCAAGACATGACTTTCTAGCATAGATGGAGGAAGGCTGCATTGAAGAGTCGTTTGAGAGGTTTAGGATGACATTTAAATTGTACATTTACATTTTGATAGGCCTCTACATTTTATTTGCTTATTTTTCCCTGGTACAGTTACTTGCACTTGGATTCCTGGCAATTCTGGAAGAAAAATAAAGAGCTTGAGAAGATGAAAAGTGGTGTAGACCACAGAAAGGAAAACAGTCAAGGAGGAAAGGTAGGAAACAACAGTGTGAGGGACTCATGGAGGAAATAGATACCAACTTTTACTGGGGTAGGTGAATAGAGGAAGTAATTTGGCAGTACGGAAAGCATCCTTGGATTGCTGTGTGGGATCTGTGGGCCCATCTTACATTCCTGACTAACACTGTGGTGGTTTTAACAGTATAAATGACAGCAAAATACTTCAGCAGTAGCTGGGGTAGATGCTCACTTTGGTAATGATGAACAGGGAAGATTCTAGTAAGCCTTGAAAAAGTGATCTAGGGAAGACAGTGTCATGGGAAAAGATGTCACATTCCTGTCTAAGATGTCTTCTTCCCTGGCTTTCTCTGATCACAGGGTTTCAAGACAGTCCTGAGGTGTTGCTCTGAAGATTGGAAAACAGCTCGTGGTGCAAGCATCAAACCCAGGCTTGGGTGAAAATGCTGCCAGCAGAAAACTGGAAACTTCCAGGTAGAAAGATGAACCTCTGGGATATTACTTGGGATATTGACTGTCTCATTCCTTTCTCATTTCATCTTATGATTTAGGGAAGAAAACTACCAGCAAGTGCTGTTCAGTCACTTTTCTGAACTGTAATCTAATCCTTCCTTCTTAGACCTCAAAATTTGTTGGTGCGTGTTTGCCTATCTGGCTATTTTTACCCAAAATTCATCTCCCCATTTTATGCAGTCAGCTTTTTGCCTTCTATCCCTTCTCTTTCCAGATGGAGATATATATATATACAGAAGGTGTACTCTTAAAAATAAACTTGGAGATTTTTTTTTGCCTATCAAAGCTTCTCCATCTGGTTCTGATCATTCCTTCCCTGCCTGCCTTGGGGAGTTTTTAATTTAAAAATACATCTGAAAGAGAACTCCAACTTTATTGGTGCTACCTTTAGATAGCACAAATGAAGCAGCACTGTAATGGGTCACTGGCAAAACCCTAGTAACAATTATCATTAAGTTGCAAGTAGTAGTCTTGGTGTAGTCAACATTCTGATTGGAAACAGTTACTTATTCTAGTTAGGAATGAATGTTCTCGCATGGTGCTGGAATATACTGCACTCCTTGTCCTCCTTGAGACAAGCCTCCACTTAGCTTTAACTTAAGAATTACCTTTTCCAAAAGATTAAACAGGTATATTCATTAAAATAATTGCCTTTTTTTTTAATTCTCAGAGAAAAAAGCATGCTGTGATAGGAGTTTTTGTTTCAGTTCTAGCGGTAGTAAATTGAGCTGTTGTGATTGGGACCAGAATTGGGTGCAATTATTTGTGGGGAACAGGCATCTTTTTACCTTTATATGTACAGTTAAAGATATCTAAATAAAGCTGCAGTTTGGGGTGAAGTAGATCTCAGTGTAATATCAACTTTTCAAAAAGAAAACAGAGAGAAGTTGGGATGGTGTAAGAATTCATGTCTAGTCGATAAGGAAATATTAGTTTAATTTCCTTCTAGAATCTGATT